GGGGGGGTGGAGGCTTGCCAGGTACGGAGTGAAAAAGACCGAATGAGCGAAGAAGGCTGTTGTCGGCACGACCCTTCAGCTTGTGGCCATCCACTGGCCACGTGTCTTTCCACCTTGTATGAGGCAGCATCTCATTGGTGGATTATTAGCCAATAGCGGCAAGCATCAATGGCTGGCTGAAAAGCGAATGCTTTCAATAGTGGACCCCGGCGCTGGCTCATTGTTAAATTTACCGGCTCGAGAGCGCATGGCTCTCGGTTAATAATTGCATGTTTTTTCGTTTTTCTCGTTTTTCTCAGCCTACAGGCCGTTTCAGAGCCTGAGACTGCGCCTATCATCAGGGCCCTTTTCATCGTTTGTCAGGTTGCAAAGCATCCACACCTTCTCAACCTATCTCCCCTAATCACTTTAGTACTACACACCAATGTATCCATCCCATCATGTACCACTCGCTCGGTACAGGTCCAAGGGTCCGAGGGTCCGATAAATTTTGGTATGGGATATTTTTTTCTCAAGCAAGTAGTCGCCGACGAACCTTTTCGTCACAGCGACGGATAAGTCATGGACAAGTGGAGCAAGCTAGCTGAAGCGTTGATATCATGTCCCGCATTTTCGCGTAAATTATTGTCTGGAAAAACGGCTCAGAATCGAGTTACATTGCTCATATGTATTTGCAGCAAAATCAACGTTTTGTATCTCTCCGTTATGTGCGGCACGTATCCATTAGAGGGCAAAGATAAAGAGCGCGAAAGCGGGACGGCTATCCGACGCCAAGGTCACGTACTCGGAGTAAAAAAGACTGGCCGAAGCACTTTTGGAAACAATTAAAGAGTATCGCCGTGAGCGAACACACAAAAAGCGGCCAACATAAGCAAGGCAAAGACTGCTGGGGAAAAGGTGGGGAAGCTGGCTGCTGAGCGGCTTAAGCGTCCCGCTCCTAGGAGTACTGAAAGTCTCACAAAAGACACATAGTTTTTTAATGGAACACGGTTGTCACTTATCTACCCTCCTAACGACATCCTGTTGCATTGTCGGTGTCCGTCTCAATCCAGTGCACACTGTAGTTTCTGCGCTCCAGCAGCGCTTCCATTCCTCGAAATCATTATACTCCTCCACTGCGTATTTGGCAGTCGTCACGGCCACGAAAGCGCGATGTCACCTTCCACGACGTTGTCGACTTGTCCGTAATGCAGTCCACGGAACCACGGAGCACATTCTCGGGGGCAGGGGTGCTCATAATGTAATTATTAAAACAATTAATTGAGATTTTTTGATTTAATTATTAATTTGTAGTACAAAATTTAAGTTTAGAAGTTTCCCCAATTTTTACAGTAGCAGCCACAGTGCAAATATTGGTTTTTACTGTGCTACTCACCTCAAGCCTTGACAACCAGTAGTTTTAAAGCCGAGAAGGAAGCTAACAAGACGCTGAATCAAAACATCCACGCATACTAGCACATTAGTCATTCTGCAATTTACCATGCCCCTCGAAACTCGCATTCTTGTCCGCACTCTCACGACCCAGGAGACGCCTGGCTTGTACAGCTGTAACAGCTGCTCCAAGACGATCAAGTCTGTTAACGGCTACACTACTGTGATTAACCATCTCAAGCGCTACCACCCTACCTACGCAACCGACGCCGAAGCTGCACTACGGACACAGAACCTTTTGTCGCTGCGTCTTGTTGATCAAGCACCACCGATATGTTTCGTTGGATTGAGTGGACGGTGATGGATTGTCTACCCCTAACGTTTTGTGAGCGGGAAATGGTTCGTCAAAACGCCAAGCTTCCTCGCACTTGCGCCAGAACGCTAAAGCTGTATCTGGATGGAATGGTGCTCGCCGTTGTGCCGTCCATCGTTAAGATTTTGCCTACGCGGTTTGGTATCGTCCTGGACGGATGGACAAGTGGTGGACGACACTTTATTGCGATCTACGCTGTTTTCGATGATAAGGACAGTATTGAAGTCCCCCGAAAGAGCGACTACCAAGATGACCTGGAGTGCCACTCACGCCGGTTTATTTTGCTGGCGTTTAGCCCAATGGAGGATGAGGGTGCTTTAAGCGCTCAAAGTCTGTTTGACTTGATCGCGGACACCTTGAGCCGCTACAAGCAGCCATGGGAGTCGGTAGCCTTCATGGTTGGTGACAATTGCAGTGTAAATCAGTGTATTGGCCGTCGGGTTGAAGCTATCCCGCTAATCGGGTGCGCTAGCCATCGTTTTGCACTGGCAGTGAAGGACTTCATGAAGCAAGACGAAGGACTAATTGATAAAGTCCACAACCTGATGAAGAAGCTGAGTACGATCAAGGGAAGAGCGCTGCTGCGCTCCCACACGAGTCTTTCGCCTGTTACGCGCAATGATACACGCTGGTCAAGTACGTACGAGATGCTGCGACGCTACACGAAACTGGAACCGGTGTTGCGCTCACTAGATGACGAAACCGTTGCTGCTTCGGAATTGGAGCCGCTTTTGTTAAAACGCTCGGAAAACATTCGCGTCACTTCACTACTTGCTGATTTGACCAACTTTGAGTCGGTTACTAAGACTCTTCAAGGTACAAGTTTGACGCTATCCGCCGCTCGGCGCCTTTTCGACCACGCTATTTCCAAATACCCGGAGCTGAAACCCCGACTGTCCCCAACCGCCGCAATCGTCAATTATCCTGCACTCGAATCCGGTCTGGTCAAGATCCAGCGAGGTCAATCTCTCACGCCGCCTGAGCGAGCTGCCTGTGCGGCGTTTCGTGTCACCAGCAGCCCTGATGAAGATCAAGCTGAAGAGAGCCCTCAAGGTCCGTCATTTGCAGCTCAAGCGCTCAAGAGGCTCAAGACAACGAAGCGGGGTGCGTATGTCGACGTCGGGTACGTACCGCCTACATCGAATGAGTGCGAGAGACCTTTTTCACGTGCAAAGCTTATATTTAGTGACGTGAGGAAGAGTATGGATCGCGTCACTCTGGAGACGCTAGTCTTCCTGCACTGCAACCGTTCACTGTGGAGTGTGTACACTGTAGAAGAAGTTCGAGCTACAATCCGCCGCAATTCTGGCAATTCTGGCAATTAACTCAATAATTCATTCTTGATGTTTTCAGGCCAAGATTAATCTAACATTTTAATTTTCACAGCCCTGCTCGGGGGGGGGGTCATCTCTGTGTGCATAATGACGTCGCTCGGTCGTCTATTGGCGGGCATAATGGTTGCCCCCAGAAAGTTGGCTCCAGGTGCCGCCTCGTGCCGCGCAGGCACGGACGGAAGATTGGGTCGCGTGCATAACTGTGAGAGCCGTCGGTCGGACACGGGCGTCGCCGCGTGTCCACTGCGCGTGGCCATCCGGGCCACCAGGGGGTGGGGCATCCTTCCCGAAGGAGGGGAGGGGCTGCAAGTACAGCAGCTAATCACGATGGTGCTCTTGACGTTCCGCGCAGCGAACTCACCAGTCATAAGCTTTATGAGTTGCATCACGGACTGTAAGTAGCTACCATCGTGTGAGATGTACGCTCGGTACCCTGCCGCTGCAGGAGCCTTCAAGCTCGCTAGCAAAAGTAGTAGTGGTCGTTGCAGGGGTGCGTCAGCTTCATACTTATTAATATTGGACTCGAAGTACGGTTTTACGCGGAGCATGTAGTCTCCGACATCATCATCCTTCGTACAGGAGAGTTTAGAATTAGCGATGCCTTCAGATAGATACCCATGTTTGGCTTGCGCTGGAGGGTCATTAGACTGCTGCTGCAAAACCTCCGTGCTTCTGTTGTTGCTGCTGCTACTGCTGATCATGTATTATTGCTGCGAGAGAGGCACACATTTGCTGCTCGTTGTCGGCAATTTGTCTTGCTGCTTCGTTCACGCTGACACGGCGTGACTAGATGACCAATGCGCACAAGCTTCTGAGACAAATCAAGTAGAAGCTCGAATCAAGTCATCGGCACTCCCTATGGAGATTGCTTCTGTCAAGGCCTGATAGGAACCCAATCGCCGATGATGTACCATTTCCCCGTCACATCTCTCGAAGTCATATTCCTTTCCTAAACGCCCCTGACGACGCCAACCAGGAGAGTGGGTGCGAGGTACCATGTACCCTTGGTGAGAGCAAAACGCCGACTGAGTGGAAGTCGACGAATTAAGGCGAGGAAGAATCGCACTCGGCAATGCACGGGATGATTGGTCTTAACTGAGCCAAAAGGATACCAACATGGAAATGGAATGTGCGACAATGCCCCCCCCCACACACACAGAGGGCATTGGCTGCGCCAAAATGTTCACTGGGGACGAGAAGCTGACGACAAGTAGTGCGCACGCGGGTGCCTACGGGAAGAAAAAGACCGGAGTCGAAGTTGCGCGCGAAGTGTAGCACTAACTGAAAACTCTGGGGTCTGAGCGCATGTGGCAGATCCATCGAAGAATGTAGTGTTTGCGACGACAGAAGTACATTTTTGGCGGCTCGGCTACTATAAAATCCAGGTAGCAGAGCTGCCAGTTGCTCTTGCAACTCCTTTCAGTCATTAGACAAAAGCTCGACGAGCATAGAGTTTGTCTCAGGGCAGCGCCTCAAATTTTGTGTTTAACACGCACAGGTGCTTCGGTGACAGCCATGCACGACCTCTTCAATTGACAGGACATATCGAAGCTCTTCTTGTTCGCCCGCCTCTGTCCTGCTTCAGGGAAATGCTTCTGACCAGTGATGAAAAAAAATGAATTGCAGATGTTAATACCATAAGAAATACCTTATTGAAAGTGGCCAGGGTACTGTACTTGGAGTAATAAATATTGCGGTCCCATTGAGTATTCGCGTATTTATTTCGTCAATGTTTCTTATTCAGAATGCATATTTTGTTTTGCCGAAGCACATTTTTTGAAGTTCAAATTTTAAGTTTGCACCTGAATTTAGTTTATTTCATTAGGTAATTACACGTAGAAATCTTCAGTCAATAGGTTTATTCTCAAAGTAGTAAAGTGTGATGAGTAATGGTCAATTCAATAACAGTGGGTACAACTTCGTTACTGTTGTCGTTGCACCACATTCCTCATACTAAGTGAGTCTATCTGCATCTCGAACACGTCCAAGTTATCCGGCAACCCACAGAGAGTGTGCGCGGCCAGTTCTCGGCGCGTAGGCCACACAGGTCCGCATCCCTTGTCAGCACCGGAATAATACTCAAGACTGAGGAACCCTTTATCAGGAAAGCCTCCATCCTTCAGCCACGAAAAGTTGAGCTCCCAGCCTGGAATCTTTTCGTCTCGACTCCAGCCAAACGTTTCATTTTGCCAGTTCTCGCCCGGCTCATCGATGGCAAGTCGCACGAGCATCTTGGCAACTTCGCGCTCTTCGTATCGCCCAAGAGCGAGCTCGTAGTAGTTGTCAGGCCACAGGGGCGTCAACACGTTTAGCATTCCTAGTCGATACAACGCTTGCGCTGCCTCATCATCCGTGAGAGCAGACAATACACCACTGAAATTGTGGAGATCTGTGATACGATCGAAGACGGTACACACGAGGTCACAGCGGGAGGTTGCGAAGGCCACAGGCCAGGCACCTAATAGCTTTACAGCCTGGGTTACAGTGATCCATCGCGTCGACAAACACCACTGAACATTGAATATTAGTCGACGCGCGGTGCAAACATTTGGTGCTACTGGGATCGCTGGGGTAGCTGGAGTAACCCCGCGCCGAGGTGCGTTGTCCTCTGCATCCATCTCGCCTCTTTCCACTAAACTGTCTGGTGGTATTGTATCTTGGGACTCAACAGGTGACGGAGCACTTAGATCTTCATCGCTTTTGTCGTCTTTAGTGCTTATTTGCTCACTAGGATGTGGAGTCAGCTCAATAGATCGGTTCAAACCTGCACCGAACTCAATGTAGTTTTTGATCGTGCTCATCTTTTCGTATTCTTCGAACACTCTAGGAGTAAATGGACGTTGTGCTGGAACCCCTGGTTCTGTGATAGTTGAAGGCAGCGGTGGCGATAGTGAGTTTCTGTTTCCTCGACTGTTCTTACCCATTTTCGATACAGTGGCCACCCCCCATTCCTGCTCCCATTCGATCTAGCTGACACAGTTGCAGCATTTGTTCGAATCGTTTATGTGAGAGTGCGTGACACGGAGTGCGTCCTAGTTGCACGTAGTCTAACTCTAAGTAGCCAAAGCGTGGAGCTGAATCTAGAAATCGGGGTTCCAAGATGAAAGGTTTTCCGTGGAGTATTTCGTTGCGAAAGCCGTGGTAATTTATGTGCTGACTTGTGTCCTTCAGACCACTTCTCTTGCGTAGGAACGCTGTACGGTTACTATTTTCAATGAGCTTTCGAAGAGTTACCCGATCCAGGTCGTTACTCAGATCGATACGGTAATGACCCGATGCGAGACCTAGAATCGGTTGAAGCGCCTGACCCATGAGATGTTGTACTCGCAGGCGGTCAGCAGAGCTTAGATTATGTTCGATCAGTGTGTACGCGTTACGGGGGTCCACCATATGCGGTAAAAGCGCTACAACAGCTTGAGAAGAATCACAAACATCTCGAACGGCCTCAAGAAGAAGCTGTGCCTCGTGTGCTTTAAAGACGAGGCCAGTCTTCGCCATGAACAACATTTGCGTCTTGTTCTTACTCGACGAGATGTTCTCAATCAGTCGTTCCACACTTGCATCCGACTGTGCACTGTCATTACCGGAAGATACGTGAAGATCGACAAAATCAATTTGCAGTCGTCCCTCGGTCGGAATCTCGAAGGGCAAATTGGTCTCTACATTGACACATTCACGATGGAATCCTCCGTCCAGTTCATTCAAGTTGAAGCTTTCCATCAATTCCACAAACTCTTCCAACTCAATCGTACCCGTACCGTCCAGATCGTAGAGTGCTACATACCGTGGTACATCTTCATCGTGGAATTGTAACCCCAGCTTGCGCATACCTGCACGAAGTTCGTGTTCATCAATAAACCCCGAGTCATCTTTGTCAAGTTCATGGAATAACTCAGTCAACGACTCCCGATCCAGACTTTTCGAAACCATTTCTGGCGTACTTAGAGCTTCCATTTCTGTCAGAATACCAGCAGTTTTGAGTAACTTACGTCTTGCTTCGACACCATCTTGAGTTTCCCGTAACTCGACACGAATGTTACGGCGTTGTTTAGTCAACCCCGAGGTGTGCGCGATAGATAAAAATTTGCATCCTTGCTTGGTGTTGGCTACTCGCAGTAATTCCAATGCAACGGCACGTTCGTATGGAATCTCCAAGTTCAAGTCGTAGCTACCTGTCGGATCTGCGGGGTCGAAAGAAACATCCCCGTCACTGGCAGCGTCAAAGTTGCATCCTTCCAATATAACGGATAGTTTTTTACTGTCTGCACATGCAGCAGCAGCATGTAGCAACGCTCGTCCACCCATGTTACCAAGCGGGTTACCACCTAAAGAGAGCTCCGTGAGTGGCAGAGCGTTGTTAATCTTTAACGCACTAGCGATCGCGATCGCTCCTTGTGCTGGGATGTTGTTGTGGCTCATGTTTAGACGTTGTAGCGTAGTGTTTGATAGCAACGCGTCGCCTACAGCTTGTGCACCGGCATTGCCAAACGCGTTGTACGCTAGATTCAACTCTCGAAGTCCAGAGTTGTAGGCTAAAGCACGTCCGATCTCCACGGCGCCGGCAAGGCGCAAATAGTTCCACGACAGATCCAGCGACATCAAAGTACTGTTGATGCTGATCATGGTCGCAAGTGCCTCACCTCCGGTAGTGACGGAGGGTCGAACAACGTTTAGATGCTCACTACTACCCACGGAATTCCGTGCCACATCCAATGTTTGAAGCGATTTGTTGGAATGCAACGCACGTGCGAAAGGAACGAGCTCTTCGTCATCCACATCGGCACTGGCAAGTCGCAACGTCTGTAGACTGCAGGACGCTGAGCTTAAATAGGAGGCAAGTGCATGTGCAGCATGACGGTCAACCTTATTTTCCGACAAATCCAGATGGTACAGATCAGCTTTAGTTACAACGACGTCGACGAGAGCTTGAAGGCCTCGGTCACGTAGACGGTTGTTGCGTGCATTTAGACCAGTAACCATTGGCAGGTCGAGTAAACAGGCAGCAAATACACACGCGAGGTCGTCACCAATGGCCATGTGCGAGACGTTGATTTCCGGCGAGAAATACTGACGTACAATGAGACGAATACATGGAGGAAGGTCACGTTCGAGACATAGAGATGAAAATTTGTGTCGTGCAGTGAATGGATCGCCACTTAATACACTACCAGTTCGCTGACTAGAACGCGAAGAAGTACCGAGATGATGTCGACTGGAGCTCCCGTTTTTGCTGAGACCATGAACGGTAGCGAGAAATGGCACAACAGGCGCGTCAGAATGAATGGCTTCATCTCGCTGTTGCCGGTTTTTGGCCTTGTCTGCAAGGAATTCGCTCAGTGGTTCAAGCGGTAGATACTTTTGTGCTGCGAGTTGACGAAAGATTGCGTAACACTCAGATTTTGCAGCCTTGCCGAAGTATTTGGCTTTAGTCTCTGCAGTGACTGTGATTGCTCGCTGCGAGACACTGCGACCGCCTCGAGCGAGATCCAGCAACGCAGGGTCAGAGGGGGGCGCAACAGGCAGTGGCAGCTTGCTGAGTCTCAAGAACTTATTGCCGGCCGACTCATGCTCACTACGTTTGGCACGCGCGAGCGACGGCAAACTGCGACGCAACTCTGGATCGATTTCCCAATGTTTGTTGATCCGCGAGATGTCCCACTTGTCCCTTTGCCATTCAGGGGTTACTGGAGGCGGTGAGCTGCTGCTGTCTGACGGTGGTGTGTCTTCAACAGGCATGGGGTAGTAGTGATCAGGTGGACAACAACTGAAAGACGTTCGCGCGGCACAGCTTGATACATGCACTCCAAATCGAGTTGCGTCGTTTCGTGCGCACAAATTTTGTGTACAACATGAAGTCACCTCTAAAAGTTAAATATTGCCGCGGTTTGCCAAATTTTCCACTTGCTGTACCAAACTTTGTGGGTGGCCTCCGAAAGTGGAAAGTGGGGTGCACAAACATTTTTCCTAGAGCATTTCCAGCTTCTGGCACCAACGTTTCAAACTCCGCACGATTGTGGTGACGCAATTATCTTCAGCAAAGGCAAGGAGCATGCTGACTGCCATAACTGGTTAGTTCGACTCGCGCCAGGAACTCGATCTTTCATGTTTCTACTGTGACGAAGACAAGCATATTACCAAGCCCTATAGGCGCAAGCTTTCAGATCTCACTCTGTAATAAGTGTAATCTGTGCATGTACAATATTCGCGCTGATTGGCTCGGCGGTGGCACCTGGTGTGCGGGAGATAAGCACGCCAGACAACAATACTGGCTAGCATTGACAAGCAATGTTTGGTGTTTTAACACCGCCGGCCAACACCCAGTATTGCTGGTTCATCAAACACGTACTTGTTACCTTTGGTCCTCGTTGTGCGGCGTAGATAACGAATGGCTCATTTCGGCCTGTCTGACGTCTCTTCGCGCTCACAAAGTGGTACACTTGGTTCCGGTATGCCTAGCAAAAATGATATCTTGCCAACGTGACATTGTATTTGCAGTCTTTTCTTCTCTCGATAAAGTCCGCAGTTTTACTTACAAATAATGAATGAATGCGGCCTCAGAGGGTTGACAGTATAATGGGTGGGACTACAAGTGCAGAATTCAGTCGCAACCACAAGGGGTCGGGCACGATGCCAAATGGTGCCGAAACTCCATGGGCGTGGAGCATTTAGGTATTCACCTGAGGCTCTTCACAGCGCACGGAGGAAGAGCACCATCCCAACGCCATCGCGCGCGTGTCGCGACTTCGGTCCTTGAATCTTCGGCGCCAGCTTCCAGCTAGCCCTCGCTTACAAACAGCATCTACCCACCATAGAAACAAGACCAAGAATTCTTCTTTCGACCGGTTAGGAAAAGCGCTTTTGCCAATTTGTGTCTAAAGCGACAGCGCAGCAAAAAATGTACGAGGGAATGTCCACTCCGCCAAGCGACAAGCTGACACAGCTGCGTCCTCGAATGTCCGATTCAGAGGCCAAGACGATGAGCAACGAAAGTCGGCAGTCGTCCGTCTCCGCTGGAGGACACGGTGCCCCACGAGAATATGACCAGGAGGACCCGCAGCGTATCCCCATGATGCCTCTCATGGGTCAAGGAGCCGTCGCGTCCAGCGTAATTTCGCGCCTCAGCGTAGGCTCCCACTTGTCGCTCAACCAGCTGGCGACATCTCATGCCGGACAACTGCGCAGACGCCCACCGTCCACCATATCCAACAAGAAAAAGTCTTTTTACAACGCCCAGCCCAATGCTGCATTGAGAGGCAAAATGCCACACGTACCGCGTCACTGGCTTAACGCACGCTTCCGACACAATACGTTCTTTGCACGGCGTCTATTGCACACAGGTGTGCCATTGGCTTTCGTACTAGCCGCGGGACTTGGGTTTTATTACTTCTACAAGCCAGACACGCTCACGTTGAACCCAGATATGCCCGATGTTCACGGATTCACGTTGCACTCGCCGAATCTCGTGTACACTTTTCAGGCAACGAGTTGCGAAAACGTCGTGGGTTTTTCGGCGTTGATTTATCACACTCTGCCAGCTGTGATTTTGCTGTGTTTGCCGGGTTCTGGGTGGCGACTTTTCGAGCCGTTCAAACGAGATGAGGTTTTTTCACCCAATGCAAGTGGCGCCCCAGGTGCGCAGACTGGCACAACTGATATCGAAACTGGAAATGGGGGGATGGACCTAGATGACGACGAAGAGGACAACAGCAACCTTACCAAAATCAAACGGCGCCTCGTCTTTCAGCTCTGCGAGCTGGTGGCCGTGCTCTTGTTGCTGTTCCAAGCTGTCGTAGTCATGTTCTTCCTCTACATGTTCTTCAAAGGCGGCGTCTTCTCGTGTAGTAACCACTCAGTGCAACTATTTGCACTTGTCAGCATGATGTGTTTCGTTTGGATTTTCACCGAGTTGCAGTATTTCGCACGATTCAGAGAGCACGTGAAAATGTTACTCGGCGCTTTCCAAGAGAGCGACCAGACTGGCGACGTGCGTACCCACGTTATGGATCCGGGTGTCGATCAGCTTATGAACCAGGCGGACAAAGCTCTAGCCGTAGTACGTAAGCGACTGTACAAGGCAACTCGCCAAGGTGATTTGCGTGAAATGCGCGACATCTTGGACTACGCGGAAGCTGCGGGTTTGACCAGTGAGGAACAGGGATTCCCTCGCAAAAGTTATGCGCCCGCTTCACTATTCTTGGGTTTCTTTGCGCAATCGCGCAAGAATCCGGTGCATGTTGCAGCGTATCACGGCAATATTCGCGCTTTAGAGCTGCTAGAGTCTCGCGGATTCGACGTCACAGCGATGGACAAGTTCAGTCGTGTGCGGTTCTCTACTGGAGATCTCTTCTGGTACTTTGCTCGCTTCTTCGTGGCTCGTCCGGGCGTTGATGGCGGCGGTAGTGACGAAGAATCAGCCGCGTCAATCTTCCGTACAACGCTGGTTACGCCACTACATTGTGCTGTATCGACAGGTCAGTTGGAAGCTGTACGATGGCTGCTGCTACGTGGCGTATCAGCGCGTACACTTGCGCGCTCGTCGTACCGTTCGGACCGGGTGCCGCCTCTATTCCTGGCCGAACACCCGGACGTCGTCCGTGAGTTGCTTGTACATGGTGCGGATCCTCTTGCCGTCCCCGATCCGGGGTTTATGAACACACTGACGGCATTGCAACTGGCGTATTTGCGCGGCAACTACGCTGTTGCCCAAGAGCTCGAAGATTGGGGCGGTGACGTGGCACTTACACCTTTCCACTCAGCAGCTGGTCGGAATGATGTTCTGGCCGTACGCAAATTTTTGCGGAAAAAAACCGATGTGGATTGTTTGGGTGAATTAGGTTACGTGGGTCTTAATCGAAGAACCCCGTTGCATTGGGCGGCTGTGAGTGGAGCGTTGGAAGTGGTGGATTTATTAGTAGAAGCGGGGGCGGACCCGAACTTCCAGGACGCTCGTGGACGCACGCCGTTGCACTGGGCTGCCAGACTCAACAGGACCGACGTGCTGCGCTCGCTTCTTGATGCTGGCGCGGATGCGAAGCTGGTAGACTTGGATTATATGACGCCGATGATGTGTGCGGCGTCGGGTCTGGATGCCACGCGCGAAGTGTTTGGCGTCCTGACGTCTGCAGGTGCCGACATCAACTACCAGTTACCGACTACAGGAGATACGGCACTGCACATTGCTGTACGGGAGGAGAACGAGCAGTCAGCGCTTGCCATTCTTGCCAATGGTGGCAATCTCATGAAGATGAACATCGAAGGCTTACGACCACTGGATTGCACTCAATCGACGCGTCTACTATTCGAGATCAAACGTGCTGCTGGCCAACGTGATGTGATGATCAGCTACACTCACTCCCATGCTGAGTTCGCAAAGAAGATTCGGAAGGCACTTGAAGATGCGAATGTTACGACGTGGTTGGATTTAATGGACCCAAGTGGCATTGGTGGCGGCTCAGTGTGGCGTGAGGAGATTGCACGTGGTATCACGAACGCCGCGGTGGTTCTGTGTCTTCTCACTGAAGACTACGCACAGTCTGAATGGTGTTTAAAGGAATTGGCATTGGCGAAACAGGTCGGGACGCCTATCTTGGCGGTATCTACAGAGGGCGTTGGTATTGGTGAGGATCTACAAGTGTATCTGTACACGCGTCAGCTTATTCCATTCGAGCCTGCTATCACCCAAACCAGACGCAATAGTACCAACGTGCGGCAAATCGAGTACGACTACGATGAAGCCAAGTTTAAGGCGCAATTCCGCTTACTACTTGACGGCGTACGCGACGAAATTGAGAAAAACCGGGACGCTGTTCAACAGAAGAATATCGCTAGCAATCGTCGTAATAACGGGTTAAAACAGACTGCCACGGGGACGATCTTGGCGACTACTACAGGTGGCTTCTCGCGTCTGTTCCAGCAATGGGACCCCGAAGCTAGTGGCGCGCAGAAGCAGTTCGTCTTCTTGTCGCATGGAGACAAACACGCAGGGTTCGTGCAGCAATTGTATCGCGAACTTACGGACGCCGGGGTGGTCTGTTATGGAGACCGCAACGTGGAGGGGCAAGACTTTGAGAACCGTATCCATGCCACGCAAGAAGCTATTTTACGGTGCACGTGCTTTATTGTGATTCTGTCGAAACAGACGATGAATAACGAATTGGTACGCGACCAATTAGCGTTCGCGGAGGATAAAGGACGCCCTATTTTTCCTATTACGCTAAACGATCTGGACCCAGGTCTAGATAAACGCTACTCGCTCGCTCGGAATGAACTCTTCCACTTCATGGGCAACGGCATGAGCTTCAAGCCGAGTGCGGACCGGCTCATTCAGGGGCTGCGTCGTCACTACACTGCGCGTGAGGACAACCAAGGCACGATGCTGGACAACAGCACGCGAATCGCCAGCGCCAACACGTCGTTCGTGTCTTTCACGTTCAGTGAGCCGGGCACCAAGGACCTTGACCGCGAGGCCACAGGCGAGCCGATCATCCAGGAAGGCGCCGTGTTGCGCGCGAGCTCCGATTTCCCTCGCACAAGCAGCGAGGAACCCAGCAACGAGGCGGAATCGACCACAGTCACGCGCAACTTCGAGTCCATCTCGGGCATCGAAGACGCGCAGCTGGATCTGTCGAGCACACACATTCGCATGTAGGAAATGTACAAGATCAAATAAAAATAACAACGCGTTGTACGACATAACAGAAACTTCAACGTCGTCCTCGACGTTTCAATCGCCAGTTCTATTTACCTCGATGGTTCAAGATGCATAATCTTTCGTGTTTTTTATAGGACGATGAAACTGTTTGTGTTGTTCAATTCGTTTTAAATAAATAGTGTTACGATTTGGGTATCTACACTACAGTTCTGCTTATCTTTTTTTCACATTTCGAGTTGGAAGATGAGTTCTTCCATGTCATCGTCGTTCTCATCGTCGGACTCTTGGTGGGCCCACGGCATGAGTGACGACGAGGCTGTAGACGTGTCGGACAGGTCGAGGGTGTCGTCCAACAGGAAGCCACCGGGCAACTTCTGGTCCGGGCTGTAGTAAGTGTTCTCCTTGTTGGCCTGGTAGTAATATCCCTCGTCGTCGCTGTCATCGTCGCTGTCGTCGTCGTCTTCTTCGGCTTCGAGCTCATCGAGTCCGCGACGGATCGACGTGAGGAAATCCTCGGGCTCTTTAGACGCCTTCATCTGGCAGGAAGAAGCCGAATATAGCGTCGCCGCCTCGTCCTCGTAGTCAGGAAGGCGCAGCGCTTCATCGATGTCTGTGCAACTGCCCACGACCGCAATAGGGTCTGAGTGGAGGCGCAAGGGCTGGAGGTTGTAGGCCTGACGGAGGAAGGCACCTGCAGGCTGGAGCTGGAGCACGTCACACATTCGTTGGCGGTCCGGGTCTGTTTTGTGTTGATATTTGGAGGCAGAGGGCTTGAGTGGCTTGCGCTTGAGCGAGCAATTTGATGAATGAAAGCCTGGACATGCCGCGTCTACTCTGGCAAAACGGCCGGGCTAAGTGCAAGGTGTAAAGCCGCGACGTTATCGCATTTCAGAGGGATGCGTTTCCGGTGCGACTGCGAGATTCGGGCTTTCCTCTCTATATTTATAAATGTTATGAGTTTCTTTTTTAAAATCAATTCAAGACTGCTTGAATTTCTTGCATAACATGATAAAAACCAAGAGTCGGAGAATCTGCCGGATTATACCCTCGGTCGTTTGAGCCCAATTTCACCTTGATCAGCCATACGGCGATGAGTAAGCAGTACGAGGGATACAGGCCGAAGGGATTGAAACTCAAAATGTTGGAAGAAGCTGGATAATTACCGGCGTTGAAAGCTGAAAAGAAGGCCAAAGTTTGCCAAGATTTTTATCTTGCCTCGCAAGTTGCAACTTGAACGTCACGCACGAAGGGACGCAGTCTCACTATGTCCCAACTTCAACCGGCTGGAATCTTGGCGTCAGCGCTTGCACACGAACTGTAGCCACTCGTTGCGCTCCACTTGCACAAGTCATTTGCGAACTGCCATAACAGCGCTTGGCCTTCGCCACTTTGTGTTGGTAAGCGCTACACACGACGGAATTGACACTTCGCCAGTTGATAATAATGGCGCCGCTAGTCGCGGCCCCGCGACATCCTCTCACGTCAGTACGGTAACAAATGCAACTTTGCTTTCCGGTGCAATGACGCTTTTACAGTATCAAAAGACTGGGAAAGCGTAATATGTCTGCTCCGATTGGATTGTTTGCGCATGTATTGCTGGGTTGCAGTGAATGCGCCGTGATAGACAGCGAAAACACGCCCGAATTTCGTGGCGAAAGATTCTTTATTGCCTCCGCAGATCCCCGTAGTGCAAGCAGCAGGCTCGCGCAAGCCTTCTACGAGCCCAGGGATAGGGGAGCTTGTATCTTCAAGGACCTCGGCTCCGTCATATCTTTTGGAGCCAGGCGAATACAGCACTGGGCTCCACCCAATTAAGTCCGAGAGTACAGAGACCCAACGCAGGCTCTCTTTGAGGCTCTTATTCCAGGCTCTTGTGGCACTTTATTTTAGTTATTCAGGTACGCGACTTGATTGGATAACTACATTTCAGTTTTCTAGGATGCAATCTAGACCACTTGTCGACTCAACACAGCTTGAAGCTCGCAGCTCTCTTTTCCACACTTCGAAAATGTGGTTAAGTCTGTTCCAACGCCTCCAAGAGATACGCGCGCTGCGCGCAAGCGGGCAGCCGGCAGGACCAGGAAGGACTGACGGGGGGCTGGCGAAGCTGCGTCCCCAGACTCTGATAGACGAGATGCGGCCTCCCGTAGAGCACCACAAAGAAGCTTAACGTCCATTCGACCGCGGTCGCAGACACACGCAGTCACTCCGCCCGTCAATAACTCGACAAATGAGCAGGCTAGCCAGAATGGTGAAGAAGTCATTGCTTCAAGTGTTGGTGCATCGCGCGCATCAACTGTTTCAGCTGGTCAGGTGGACCAAAGCACAGCAGCACGTGTGCCACCATATGGGTCTTCGTCAGCTGTGGTGGCAGATGCTCACAGCGTGCGTGGTATTGCAAGTGATATCGAAGATGCAAATATAAAGCCACCCGCTGCGGTGACAAACGCAATCGCAGCGTTTCCTGAGGTGCCAGGGCTAGTGCTGAAGCCTCCTACAGAAAAGGAGACATCCTATATATACAAATGGGGCGTCCGCGTTGAGGTCGTCGAGCGTGGGGTTCCTGTTCGTCACTGGATTTGCCTAGCTGACGAAACCTGCAGGAGAAACGGAACCAATTTTACACTGTCCTGGGATCGCACGTCTAAACCGGCGAATCACTTAGCAGCGGCCCACCGAGTTGTGTCCATGAGAACGAAAGCACAACTGGGTGAGAAACGAAAACGTGAAGACGAGATCGAGCATTTACGTTCTTCATCCTTGTTCAAAAACAATCCGCGCAGATTTGCCTTACTTATGGAGACGCTACTAATTATCAATAACAACCTCCCTTTCAGATTTGGTGAGTACCGAGAATCCCGTATTGTCGAAGCCCTGCTAAAGCGAGAAGACGTACAGATCATTATAAACGCAGCCAAGATAAGACGAGCAATTATTGAGCTCTATTCGTCCACGCGAGTCGAGATTATGAGCGTGTTGGGGGACAGCAAACTGGGGTCCTTTGGCAATTTCGTCATAATGAGTGATTTCTGGACGTGCAAAATTACCCACAAGAAATACATGGGCGTTCGTGTATATTTCATCGACTCTAACTGGGAATTCCGATCTATTCTTCTCGGAGTGCGCAGATTTTCACCAAGTTATGGAGACCGTGAAATGGGGATTCAAGGTCCTTACGAGGCTTGGACTCTTCAACTACTTGGTGATTTTGGGCTGACTCCGAGGGATTTCTTCGGTGCAACAAGCGACGGTGGCCCTGATGTTAAAAGCTTGCTAAAAAGGGGGCTGAAACTAAAATGGGAATGGTGCATGGCTCACATGGCGCATGCTGCCACTAAAGCAGCCTGCGGAATGAATGGAGATGCTCAGCGGTCCCATAATCCAGTCATGACGGAGCTGATTGCCCGCATCAAGAGAACAATTTTTGACGTCCAGTCTAATGAAAAGACTGGAGATCTGTTTGCTGCACTTTGCCGAACGCAGACAATCACGTCTACTACCCAGTTACTAGGTTACGCGGCGAATCGGTTTTTGAGCATCACTGGCACCATCCGCCGAATATTGGAGAAGTGGGGAGCACTTGTCGAGTGGTACGACGAACGCGCCCGCCTCGCCCTCCGACAGCGCGTATCTCCGCCATCTTTCAGGCTGAAAAACCGTCGCAAGGATCTTCAGCAGATTTTATCACTGCTGGATCCAATCTCGAGGCTTAAGAGACTCTGCCAGGCCGAGCGTCCTAACCAAGTAGAAGTGCTCATGGAGCTGTATCAAATACGTCTCGACACATTGAATTTGGAGGAGGCTTTGTTAGATTATCGATCGAAGCCCGATTCGCTCAAATGGATTGCAGTGGACGACCTGACAGAGATTGCGGTGCAAACTAGGCGATTATTACGCAGTGCTTTTGATTCGCGTTTCTTCTGCCGCTACACAAGTGAGACTTATCTCGATGAAGGAGCTTTTGTTTTCGAAATGCAGCAAAGACTGCACCCTGACTTCAAAAACCCGGAGAAGTCTCTCAACGCGGTCGTGAAAATGTTGTACAAGGAAAAAGAAATGTCGGAAGATGCAATAACCGTGTTCGTTAGCTCCGTGAATGAGGCAGTGAAGACAAGGCTTCGTACATTGATGGAGAAGGTAGTAGACCCTGTTGCAAGTGATATGGTGCGTCGTCAGCATTCTGCCGAAGATGATCCACCCCTCATCAGCGGTATACGTGCACGGTTTGGAAACCGTGCTACTCAACGTCCGTTTCCTACTCAACCTGATCGAGTTAGCCAGGAGCTTCGCAACTGGGAGATTGATCAGACTGAGATGAGAGCCAATGAAAACGTGCTTGCTTTTTGGATGCGAATGGAGCACAGTGGCGGCTACAGTATATTACCGAGGGTGGCGAAAGCTTTATTTGCTTTACCCTCATCATCCGCCCAGATCGAGAGAGACTTCAGTGTGTGTGGGGAGATGGTGACATCACAACGTGCAAGCCTTTCAAACGAGAATGTCGACATGTGTGCTTTTCTTAATCGAAACGAAGCCTTTGTGGACATTGCACAGTGCGAGTCAATCCCGGACGATGAACTGGATTCTCATATCCCTCAGTGTGTGAGCTACGTAATGGAGGCTACACCACGTGATGATGAAGACGAAATGATTCTCGACTTATTTTCTCAAGCGAGCGTTGAAGAAGAGTAAAAGAGTGTGTGATACTACTATTGCAGCGGTCGCCGTACATGTATCTACATTTTCGTCATTTTTCTGACGAGCGACGACACCTTCATAACCTGAAGCTCTTCCATACTGCGGCAGTTCAGCCAATATGACATGACCGCTTCCGACCATGCACGATGAGTAGCTGCGCAGATGAAACGGCTTCTCGATGACCTCTTGTTTGTCTGGAGTTGCAGGCAACGTAGTGATGTTCCAGGTGTCAACTCGTTCTCACCGACCGTCGACGTCTCGTTGCAGTACTAAGTGGTGGGCTCGGCTACGTCATCTTCCTCGCCGTAAACCATCGCCTGACCGTTGACGCTCAATCCCTCGCCAGCGTTAATGTGGCGCCGCCGTGCAGGATAAACGGTTGAGCCCCGTTGCTCTTATTCAGAGCCATCCAAAGGACATATCCGTGGTATTCTTCGCCACCACGAGAAGGTCGATTTGCTGTCCGATGTTAATAGTGATGTTGGTGATGAGCTTGGACGGCTCCAGTGATTCTCCGCTCGGTGCGATGGCGCGAAGTTGATGCCCGTCAATGCTGAATTCAAACTGGTCAAGTGCCCTCATGAACATGAGGCGGAGGTGATATGATTTACCCGCTTGGAAGCGGAAATGAGTAAGTGGCTGGTCCTCTGGGCACTGTTTGAAGCCGTGTGATGCTGCAGCGGCACAGTTGTAGCGACCGCGATTGTTGATCAAGATTGAGCCTTTTTTTCGCCAGTTGGACCTTGTATTCGGCGCCGACGTCCATCTCCCAAGGCTGAAGCTGATCCTCGCGTGGGTGAATTATCAGAGGCCCACGCTGACCGTACGTGTACTGGGTATTGTGGTCACAGTGCCACCAGAAATTACCGTCCTTGTCTGCTCCGAAATGATGCGTTGTGGGGATGTAGCACTGCGTGATAGCCGATAATCAGTTCATCGCTTGAGTGCCGAGCATGCCAGTGCAGACACGTGGGTTCATCCAGTCTTAACAAGAATGTCATTGAGTAAGATGTCGCGGCTGTCG